AATGCTGATTACAGTAGAAATCAGGTGAACAGTTATTACTCAGATGGTTGTTTTTAACAGTTTGTATGTAGAAATCAGGTGAACAGTTATTACTCAGCTGGTTGTTTTTAACACTTTGTTTGTAGAAATCAGATGAACAGTTATTACTCAGCTGGTTGTTCTTAACAGTTTGTTTGTAGAAATCAGGTGAACAGTTAGCCTTCAATAAAGTAAAATAGAAAATTAGACTATACTTCCCATGCCCATGTGTTGTATCCTCTTTTTTCTGAAATTGCAGGTAGTTCTCTCTGATGTTTGATACTATATTTTTAATCTTAACATGAAAATTACTTTGCACATGGACTATTCAAAACAAATATTCAATATATTCATGGACAAACCCTTTTTTTAGTTTATTAAAAATACTTCATTAAAAAATGATTTTTTGTGTGTGAAAAACTTATAATGTTAACTGAAAGGCTGCCAAATTTTGTGAAGATATACACACTATATTGAAAGTTAGAAATATTAAATCTATAAATACTTTAAACAAGTACAAAGAGGACACATGGTCAGCCAAATTGACCGAGCCAGAGTTAAGAAAGAACCGGCTTCACAACATCTACTATTCTTCCAGTTTGTACAAACATAACATATTAAGAAATACCCAGCTACACAAGAGCTACTATATGCTACTGATTTGTACAAATGTAACATATTAACCTTTTTGTGACAGTGGGTCTAACTGAGCATGTCATGGTCTTTGAGAAAGTTGTTTTGAAAATTAATTAAACTGCTTTTTATTTACATTATACCAATTAGTATAGCATAGAATCATATCTAATAACCCATATTTTAATGGTATATAAGTTTTAAGTTCTTAATTTTATAAGGCAATAGTTAAAAACAATCCTGTATTTTTGCTAATGTGATATTTTCTCTAGGCATCCCCTCTTCTCTATTTTATCCGCCACCCCTCCAATAAGTACGAAATTTATTGTAAATTCCTCACTATGAAATCATCATTACTCAGACAAACCATAATTTTTATAGCCTTGAATTTTGTTTGGTTACAGAGCCATCAAATAAAAAATCAGACCCCTCTTGCCACACCCACCTGTTACATCCTCTCTTACGTTTAATTCTATATTATGTATTACCAATAGAAAGACGAGTTTTTCATCTATCAAATGATGCACTCTATTACATTGTTTTCTGGACAGAGAATTGTTAAATTCACTGTTAGTACAAGCTTCGTTCCCATGGGAAAGATAATGACTAGCTTAGATGAAAGAAAGCCAGAAATATTTTGAGAGTTAGGGGAAATTGTCTAATTTTTGTGGGTTATTCTATGTTTTTTTGGTGCATTATTTAAGTATATAAAAATTATTTAGTGCATTACTACCATTAGTATTAAAAAGTAGGTTTAAGTGTCATAGACAGTCGACAGCAAAAAACAAAGACCTAGATAAGTACTTTATTTCATGTTTATTCTTTATTTATTATTATAAAAGTAACTAAAATGTAAAATTAAGGATCTCTTTGGGTTAGTTAAGGTTAGATTAGGTAAAAGAATAATAATAATATTATATAATAAAAAATGTTTCATAAGGCACGCACACTAGCAGCTCAGACTCGAAGTAGCTTGTGGATAATGTAATTTTATAGTGTAACGTGAGCTCCACATTCCCCAAGTGATTTGCAACTTATGATGGTGTGAATAGTAGTAGTTAGTTCTTCAAAAAGCAATCACTGAGCAATGAAACAATAAAATTTATGTTGAAATAGATGTATAATGTTATGAGATTAAAGCCACATAGGATAAATGAATGTCGTTTCAAGTTGCAATTGGAAGTCATTTTAGATAGAAAAAAATGGTAATTTAGATTTATTTCAATTTTTCTCTTTGGTGGTTACAAGGTTGGTCAAATAGATGGACTCCATATAGAGTTAGGGTAGAGAAAATAGCAGATAAATATAAAGTTTCAATAAAAACAAATGTTTGAAATGTATTTAGGAGGTTTTAGAGAATACACAAAAGATATTTGAGATTTTGGGTTGAAGAATAGTTTTTTAATCATAATGTGTAAATCACTTCCACTTGGACCAAGAACGAAACAGACTTGATATATTTACAAACAAATCTTCAGTAAAAATACTTCATTAAAAAATCTGACTTTTTATGTACATAAGACTTGTACTGTTTACTAGAAGTCTACTAAAGTTTATGTAAATGTGTATACAAACTTGTGTATTTTATACCGAGCCTGTCGAGAAAGAGTTAAGAAACAGCCAGCTGCACAAGAGCTACTATTCTGCTGATTGGTACAATCAATTAGTCATCAATCAGCTGAAAAAAAAAAATCTACAATCAGAGGTTCATTTTTAAGGAGCATGAGTAGGATCACACTTCTTCCTATTTCTTAACCTTGTCCAAAGAGCATAACTAACAGTGCTCGCTAAAACTCCAAGAATGGATTTAAAAAATCAATGAGTCAAAAATACCAAAATTAGTAAAGCAAATATGAGGATGTCATTTGCTTTTATTGTGTAGCAAATGAAGAATACACATGAAAAGCAAGAAATATACTACTTACCTGGGCCTTTTTTTATTTGCTGTCAATGACACTTAACCCTACTTGTTTTGTTATACTAATGGTACTACTGCACTAAATAATTTTTTGTTTGAATAAATAATGCACCTAAAAACACAAAACAACAGCATGCAAAAAGTAGTGTCCCGTAGCTATCAAACTTTTCTGGCTTTCAAACTATGTGACAGGAGCCATTACAAATTCATCTAAGCTAGTCAATGTGTTTTACAAGGAAATCAAGCTTGTACTGAAAACGATATTGACAGTTCTCTGTACAGAAAACAACATAATATATAAATATAAAATATATAAAATATGCCATTTGATAGATAAAAACCTTGGCTTTCTATTGGTTATAAGTAATATATAATTAAATGTAAGAGAGAACTATTAACAAATCCTGAAAAAGAGGGTGTGGCAGGAGGGGTCTGATTTTCTATTTGATAGCTCTGTAACCAAACAAACTTGAAGGCTATAAAAATTATGGTTTGTCTGAGCAATGACAATATTATAGGGAGTAATTTATGTTTAAATTCGTACTTTTAGACAGGGTTGTGGATAAAATAGATGAGAATATACCAAGAGAAAATGTCACACTAGGGGAATTAGAGATTTTTTTAAATATTGCCTTATAGAATTAAGAACATAACTTGTATACTATTAAAATATGGATTACAAGCTAAGATTTTATGCTATACTAATTGGTATAGTATAAACAAAAAGTAATTTAATAAAATGTTGAATGTTAGACACTAAAACCTTGTGTCATGCACAGTAAAGGATACCCATGGCTCTTGTACAGCTGGTTGTTTCTTAACATGTTTGTACAAATGAGTAGAATAGTAGCTCTTGTACAGTTGGTTGTTCCTTAACATGTTTTGTTTGTACAAATGAGTAGAATAGTAGCTCATGTACAGCTGGTTGTTCCTTAACATGTTTTGTTTGTACAGATGAGTAGAATAGTAGCTCTTGTACAGCTGGTTGTTTCTTAACATGTTTTGTTTGTACAAATGAGTAGAATAGTAACTCTTGTACAGCTGGTTGTTCCTTAACATGTTTTGTTTGTACAAATGAGTAGAATAGTAACTTGTACAGTTGGTTGTTCCTTAACATGTTTTGTTTGTACAGATCTGTAGAATAGTAGCTCTTGTACAGCTGGTTGTTCCTTAACATGTTTTGTTTGTACAAATGAGTAGGATAGTAGCTCTTGTACAGCTGGCTATTCCTTAACTTTTTTTTTTGTACAAATTATTTGTTCCTTGACAGATTGTATGTACAAATCACTAGTGTAGCTCTAGCTATACAAACCATATTTATATCTGTATTAGTTTAATTGTTTTAAACCTAGAAGTTATTTTATTTTTTTCTGCATAAAACTGATTTAGTATGCTTTGAATTTAGTATCTGTTGAAATAGTCATAGTTTAATCTTGTAGATATTTTCTGTTGGTATCAATAACAGTAAAATAATATAACCAGCTATCCTGTTTCTTTAAAAAAGGCATTTATTTCTTAAAGAAAATAAAATCTTAATTGATCTATACAAGAGCATTTAAATTTATTTGAACAAGACAGAAATCTATACTTGAAAAAACATATGATGGTACACTAAGTGCCTTTAACATAAAATAAATTTCCAAGTTGAGTTACATTTTACTGTTAGTAGGTGCACAAGCGTCTAGGGTATCACGGGCTAAGCCCACCAGCCCAGAGGTTTCTAAAGAAGTTGTGGCTAAACCACCTACTACCCGTAAACCAGCAGTAAAGCAACGACCTGCAGCTCAAAATCAGAAACCAAAGGTTTGTGGATATGTTTTATTTATTTTTAATATATATGTGGCGACAAAGTCTGAATTGTGTATTATATCAACTGACATGTTCTACAGAATTGTTAAACCAGTTTTCAATTCTCCAATATTAAGAAATTTTGGAAAGTTTAGTATTTGTTTATTGTGTTTTTTCAGTTAGCTTGATATTGATCTATATCACACCATGAAAACCATGTTTTTACAATTACTTTGTGTTAGACGGAAAAATGAATTTTTGTTTTGACTACTAGTTGCTATCGCCCGATACAAAGTAAAAAAAAAAAAGGAAATGTTTCTTAGATCCACCAGGTGTTTCAGGACTGCATAATAGCATTGTTGATTTGAGGACTATTTATAAAGAAACTAACAGTGTCAGTTTTCCTTTTAAAATTATGTTTATTCAGCTGTACTTCATGTCTGATTCTTTCACACAGGTATTTACTGTGGCTGAACCTCCAGCTCCGAGTGGTGTACCAGCCGAAAGTGTCACCATTGTGACTGAACCTCCAGCTCCAAGTGATGTACCATCTGAAAGTACCGAAATTCTGTCTGCAAAAACCATTCCTCTTAGTGATTCTAATATTTCAGATGAACATCTTAATAAATCAGAAACCACAAAAGAAACTCCATCCGAACCTGCTTTGAAACCTGAAATTTCAACCAAAACTGATCTTAAACCTGAGATCTCATCAAAATCTGATCTTAAACCTGAGATCTCATCAAAATCTGATCTTAAAGTTGAGATGTTAATGGATGCTGATCTTAAACCTGAGATCCCAATTGAAGTTCCTCATACACCTGACATCCCAGTGGAAACAGTTCCAAAACCTGAAATTCAAACCCAGATACCTCTTAATGAGGTAGAATCAGGTCAGAAAATTGAATCTTCAAAAGATGAGTCACTTGTCAAGTCTTCTTTGAAGAGTGAGACTCCATTAAAACCTTCACCTTGTGTGGCTCCTACTCCAACAGGTACACCCACTGGGAAGCCCAGGATCACTTCAGAAGAAGAAGCTAAAGCAGCTCTGGCAGAAAAACGCAGGCTAGCTCGAGAGCAAGCAGAAAGGGAAGCTGAGTTGGAAAGACAGAGGCAGGAGGAGTTGAGGTCAGTAATCTGTATATTTTAGCAACTTTTTATCTCTCTCATAAATATGCTATCGTTTAAGGTGAATGCTTGAAATTATAACTCTGTGTTCCAGCTGAATAGTCTAAGGTACTTTTCCAGTTGTCAGTAAACTGGTTACACTTACTTAGATGAGAAACATGTTTAATAAACAACAGTTTTTGTTAAAAGACATGTTTTACTGTGTACTTATATTTTTTACTTTTGGTGAAATCTTTGAATTTGTCCTGCGGTGAAGTGTGAAAAGTAAAATTTTCATTCAGGCGTAAAGAAGAAGAGAGACTTAGATTAGAGGAAGAAGAGCAGAGGCGACAGGAGGAAGAACAGATCAGGTTGGCTGAAGAACATCGTCGTCAAGAAGAAGAAAAGCTACAGCGAGCTATTGAAGAGCAGAAGAAACGTGAAGAAGAAGAACAGAGGAGAATCGAAGAGGAATCTCGTGTGGTTAGTGCTTATTGTAGAGAAAAATGTGTGTGTGTAAAGATAGATGTAATTTGTAAAATCCTTGGCTAGGAAATCAAATTTTGACTGATAATTTTTTACTTAATGATTTGAGAGTTAATTAGAAAAAGAAAGTGTAATTACCAAGATTTAGTTAGCTATTTATTGGATATAATATAACTATTTTGAAAGTAATCTTGAAATCACTCTTGATTTCATATGATAGACATCTTTTGAAGGTTGCAATTTTTTAGTAAATATATTTTTGCATAAGTAGAGTTTGTACTTGACAGATAAATTGTTAATGTGGCCTATATACCATCATCTAATCAGGATTGTTAATGTGGCCTATATACCATAATGTAATCAGGATTGTTAATGTGGCCTATATACCATCATGTAATCAGGATTGTTAATGTGGCCTATATACCATCATGTAATCAGGATTGTTAATGTGGCCTATACACCATCATGTAATCAGCATTGTTAATGTGGCCTATATACCATCATGTAATCAGCATTGTTAATGTGGCCTATATACCATCATGTAATCAGCATTGTTAATGTGGCCTATATACCATCATGTAATCAGCATTGTTAATGTGGCCTATATACCATCAGCTCAGCTGGTTGTTTTTAACAGTTTGTAGAAATCAGGTGAACAGTTATTACTCAGCTGGTTGTTCTTACCAGTTTGTTTGTAGAAATCAGGTGAACAGTTATTACTCAGCTGGTTGTTTTTAACAGTTTGTTTGTAGAAATCAGGTGAACAGTTATTACTCAGCTGGTTGTTCGTAACAGTTTGTTTAACAGTTTGTTTGTAGAAATCAGGTGAACAGTTATTACTCAGCTGGTTGTTCTTAACAGTTTGTTTGTAGAAATCAGGTGAACAGTTATTACTCAGCTGGTTGTTCAACAGTTTGTTTGTAGAAATCAGGTGAACAGTTATTACTCAGCTGGTTGTTCTTAACAGTTTGTTTGTAGAAATCAGGTGAACAGTTATTCCTTCCTCCTAAACAAACTTGTATATTACAAGTGCCCTAGTTATTATGTAAGTATAGATCTGGTTCCTTCCTCCTAAACAAACTTGTATATTACAAGTGCCCTAGTTATTATGTAAGTATAGATCTGGTTCCTTCCTCCTACACAAACTTGTATATTACAAGTGCCCTAGTTATTATGTAAGTATAGATCTGGTTCCTTCCTCCTACACAAACTTGTATATTACAAGTGGCCTTTTTATTGTGTAAGTATAGTTCTGACTAGATTTTGTTTTTTTCTCTTTCCTACAAAACCTTCTCTACCACACATTTCCTACTTAATTTTGTAAGTATTGGTCTGGTTGTTTCATCATACAAAACCATATAGAGTACAAGCTTCCTGCTTATTTTATAAATGTGGATCTAGTTCCTTCCTCCTACAAAACCTTTTGTATTACAAGTTTCCTACTTAATTTGTAAGTATAGATGTAGTTCTTTTCTCCTTAAAATGCTTAAATACTACAAGTAACATATTTAACATGTAGGAAAGGGTCTGGTTCCTTTTTCCCCACATAAACTTGTGCACAATTAATGTATTTAATGTTTGGTACAGATCTGTCTGTCTTCCTTCAAAAACTTGTTTACAAAATACCCACTTAATGTTTAAATATATTTTCCTTCCTCTTACCCAGGCTTGTTCTCTAATTCAAACAGTTTTTTAGCTGTTATCTTAAATGTTGAATAAGGCTTTATATGAAACTTGTGGAACAGTTTTTTTAAACTTTGATATTAATATCTGTCTTCTTTTCGTTTAAATAGTAGTAGAGTGATTATGTTCACTTGTATATTTAGATTAGTTGTACCTAAAACATTCAGTAGGAAAGACTACAGGACATGGAAAAAAATAATGAAATAATGAAAAAACTATTTATTTGCAAAAGTCCTACGTCAGGCAGTTAAAACCGTGTTACATAGAAAAAAGGCTTAGACGTAAAATATTCAAGAGTTGAATAGTCGAGTACATGATGCAATATGTAATTTATCATTGAACAGATAGACAATATCATAATCAGATATTGTGCCACTTAGGAGTGGAGTTGAATTTCTAAACATTTACTTAAGGTTTTTCTCAACAGATGTAAATATACTGTAAAAATATTCAGTGATTACAAAGTGAGCTGAATATTTATTGATGTAAATTTTTTGACTCTTAAGCAGCTTTACGAGTAATACGTTTTAGTTGGCATAGTTACTGCTTTATCATGGAAATTTTGCTGATGTTTCTTTTAATTTCTTTTATGATCTTTCATTATATTAAATGAAGCAAGATACTATTTAGTGAAGTGGCAGATTTCATGTGTTTGTGTTTGTATATATATATTTTATTAACAAAATAACATAGTTTAAAATACCCTAGCTTTATTGATTGCCAGGGTGTTTTTATAGTATTTTTGTAAGTACAGTACTTGATCTGATGAAGTTAATATTAATTAAATATTTAACATGTACTTAATTCTCTAATTTACTTTGTAAGTTTATTGATTAACAAAGGCAAAATTTTCTTATGTTATAGCTGCCCGAAAGGATCCCTCCTCAAGGCCTCAGAGCTCAATGTCTCAAGCATCTGACATTTCACCATCTTCTAGTCAGGCATCTGCTAACTTGAGACCTCGTACTTGTCCACGACGTCCTCGACCTATTAGCATTGCAGGCAGCACACCTGATCGGGCTGTTCTTGAATCAGCGACCAACCACAGACAGGCACGCAGTGTGGATAAAAAAGGTAATGATCCCTTTTTCATTTACAAGTAAGGCTGTTTGGGAAATATTATTTAGTAATTTCTTCCAAGAAAGCTCTGTAACATTCTGGTGTTCATTTTGGAAAAATTAGTCGCACTCAACCTTGTTTTTATCAAAATCACAGAACTACAGTATTTGTAATCTAAGGTCCAATTTATATATTTAGCCACAACTTGAACTGCCTACAATGTACCAATTATTTCTTGATTTCTTTTTAGTGTAAATTAGTACAAAAGAAACTTTGAAATATTCTGCCTTGACAATTTGTTATAAGAAATAGGTAAAATAATTATTGATTTGAGAAGTGTTCTTTGATTGTTAGTAGAACTAGGTAAACTAACCAGATCTATACTTACATAATAA